TAAAATAGTAAACCTGAAGTTTACTAATATATACCATAACTGGTTTAAGCCATCCCGGTGTAATAATGGTATTGAAAATTTATGTCAAAAAATCTGAAGTTTTTCACACATGCATGTCTTAGCAAAAGTAAGCTAAAAAATGAGACCATCATGAGAGATGTATCACCATTTTTTAATTGAATTCATTAGATATGATGGTTGGATTTCCTTAAGCAGTCCCCAAATTATACCCAAATAAGTGAAAATTAGTTCAAGATGAATGGGCAAGAAAAGCCATCATAAGGGGGGGGGGGGGGTATTAAGAGTCCACTAAAGGATTTGATGCATAGTACAAGGTCCAAAGATGGGTTAATTGAATACGTTTTGGTCCTAAAGTTGGATTTATTTCGACATAGATGAACTTGAAGTATCATCATCTCGAGGGGGAGAATTAAAGAATCTCATATCAAAAGTAGTGGAACATCCTGAAGATTATATTCACACTTATAATGGGTTTTATGGATAATTTATATAGCAGATCCAGAAGATTGCAAGATCAAAAATGGTGAAATTTAATCTCCATGTTTTGGGTATGGAACAGCTAATGAATGAGATTTCTTGAAATGAATTATCATTGGAAATTATGGATCCTCGTATAAATGATTTTGAACCTGAAGTTCAAAGGATAATTCATATGTTAATGCCTAACATACAAATGAAATACAATCTCAATTTTAGCTAAAAATGCTACAATATGAATATGTCCCTGAAGGATGATTTATCAATAAAAGTCTAGAGTCTATGGCATGTAAGAAACATGATAGAAGTTTTGGTTCCAAATATAAAATCCTCAAAAGGAAAGGAGCAAATATATGTTAAAAAGATGATGAATCTCCTGAAGAGATCCATTATTATGGTTAATAATAAAATCATTTACTCGAATGATATCATTGATAATGATAAAGAAATATCGATTAACCATGTTACTACAGAAAAAGGTGGAACCAAAGACAAAATAATTGTCGACAATAAATAAGATAACGCGTGATATGAATGAGGATCATAAATCTACCTCTATGGATGAGTGTAGAAAGTGAAAATATTGGCCAAAAAGTGAAAAGAGGCAATCAAGTCTATGCTAAGCTCATATGAAAAATAAGAAATTTTTAGACCAGCAGTCCAAACGTTAAAAGTAATTCAAGTCTGGCAGAAAATGAGCGACTTGAATTGCAAAAGAAATAATTCATAAAGGATTAATGATATCATAATTATGTTCCCGGGAACTCTACTTGATGAATATATATATGTTACATGGGGTTTAATAATTTAGTTAAGGTTAAGCAATAGACGAATCAAAGAAAATGATTTTTGATTTAGTCATAAAATATTATGTTTTTTAGGAAAATTATGTTCATTTTATTTTGCAGGTATCCCAATTGAACATCTCATTTCAAAAAATCCCAACAGGATCTAATATATAGAAAAGCTCAGAGTTAAGTATTTCTAAAGAAAGTGTTATTTGATCTTCCTTACAAAATATGATGAACTTGAAGTTCATAAAATTTAGAAGTGCTCTACAAAAATTTAATGTTCCTGAAGAACAAAAATTCATTGGAGCAAAGTAAATGAACCCGAGGTTTTGTTAAAAAGGGGGAGGCCAATGGACTCTAAAATTATCCAGAAGAGAAAGAAAATTAGAGAACAAAATAAAAAGATTCCAGAAGAATCAATAAAATGTTTTTGAACTTATATTCATTACACCTGAAGATGTAATGTCATTCGAGACCAATAGAAGTTTATTCAAAAAAAATGAAGAAAAACGAAATCACAAGATAGAAAGCCCGATTTGTGGCATAATGTTTTTCTCAAATACCAGGAATTGATGTTTACCGGTCATAGATGTAATCACATTCAGTAATGTATTGATTAAAATCCAAGAAGGATCAAGGATGCCTGAAGCATCTGAAAATATTATTTGGTCAAGTTACATTGATGAAAAGAAGAGTTTGAAATGAGAGATCTTGGAAAGTCAGAATAATATATTTCATGAAAAAAGCATGACTAATTCGATTAATGGATCAGAAGTCCAATGATCCAAGATGTCAATCATACAAGTTTGTTCACTAAGGCTCTACTTATAAAATTCACAAAAAGATGGTGAATATAATTGGAATGCATATCCTGGAGATGATGCTTCCAAGGGGAGAATTATGATAATATGCGTGGCTGCACTCTTTTTCCCTTAGCATAGTTTTTATCCCAATGAGTTTTTCCGTGAAAGAGTTTTTAACAAGGCAGCAAAAAAAAACGCACAAATATTAACTTTTAAAGAGAATACTTCTAGAAGAAGTATTATGAAGCGAGTAGATGCATTTTTCCTGGTCATGGTTTTTATCCTATTGGCTTTTTCCATGACGAGGTTTTTAACAAATCATCAAAAAATACGCAAATAATATCCAAGATACCGATAGAAAGTATTACAATGACGTAGAAGTCAAGAATCATCTATCCAAAAGAAAGACTCATTAATTTAAAGAAGAAGTTTATAAAAAGAAGATTATATCAATCTTTTCAAGAAGAGATTAATAATAGATAATTAAGGGGGTGTTAGAAATGGATAATTATCCATATTAATTAATGTTTTCTTAATCCACCGCCTACTACAAATCGGTTTATTTGCCTATATATATGTAACTTCATATTATGTAAGTTGAAGTGATAATAAGAAAGAGAAACTGATATCTCTCTCACATTCTCTTCTCCTCATCTTTTCTCTCGTCGCTTACTTTAATATAAACATATTATATATATATATATAAAACACATATCTCACCTCATATATATATATATATAATCATATGTTATAGTTTATAACATATTTCTGATTATATAAGTAGATCTCAGAAAAATAATAATGAATTATTAAAATAATTGAGGGTTTACAAAGCTCAGAAAGTTAGTATTTCAACATAAATACGAAAATATGTTGTTCTTCTTGTCGGTTACAATTTCAAGCACCATCACTCCGAAGTTAAACACGTCTGATTTGGTGGAGTGTCTCTCATTCACCACATATTACAGAGATATATAACCGCTGTGTAATAATTGCATATTAATTTTTTTAGCTTTAAAACCAAATAAATTATAGATGTATTGCTTGAGAGAGTATACAAATGTGTGATTGTTTACTGAGTCCCAGTGGGCTGCATCATGTTACTTTTGGTTTCGCTCTTTTCGATTTGGCCAACCCAAAGTCAGAAATCTTTTAAATCTTGGAATTTTGCTTACTAGACTTTGTTAGGAATACATTGCCAAAAATGAAAGTGTCACTCCTGGTATGCCAACACCTAAATCTATAAATAATCCAATGCTATTGTATATATTCTTTAAAAAAAAGGGTGAACAGAACCATATATTAAGTTTTCAAACAAGAATGCAAATGATGATGAAAATTTTCAAAAATGACTAGACTTACCATTGAATTTAGTAATTAGAAAATATTCAAAAAATGATTTCCAAAAAAAAATCTTAAGTAATTTTATTTTACATGTACATAGCCAACGATTGAAGCGATTATACGAATTAAAAAAGTTGACACATATGAGATGATCCATCAAACATCTGACTTGCAATGGAAAAATATAACATTTTTACACAAAGGTGCATAAATGCATTTTTACCATCGATCTACATCTTAATTTTTCTTTGCAAAATAATAACACTTATCTAAATTTGTCAACATATGAATTTAAACTTACAGAGGATTACTAAACATAAACATAAACTAAGACTAAGATTACTTGTAGTGAAGACTTAATTTGTTGAAATAACCATTTAAGCTGTTTTAAATTGTAGTAAAGTTTGTGCATTTTGCAATCTCTACAACAAAAAGAATTGTTTCACAAAGATATATTTCTAAATGAAACTAATAATATGGTATCTATATAAGAAGTAAGTAACTAGTTAATAATACTTTTTAATCATGTGTAGTTTTGAACGTCTTTCAAAAAATCACAAACAACAAAAAGATATCAACAATTTGTCTGAAATTTATATGGATGAGAAAAAAATTATTATGAACAACCACTTCTCTTTAACATAGTAAAATCCAATCAATCGAACAAATCATTGATCAAATATCTAGTTTCTGACACAAATCAATTAATTAAATAGTAATCCCAATTGAAGTAAAAACACTAAATCTCAGCTTTTAAACCTTATGTTTAAGATTTAATTTGCTAGATATATTGAGACAGAGAAGAACATATGTTACTGAAAAAATTTTGCAGTCCTTGTTGCCATCAACAAGACATTCCTATAAAAAAAATTCTTAAAATACTCATTAAGATGTTTTACAATTTCGATGTTGTCCTTTGTGATTGAAATAAAAAAACCTTAAAGAAAAAAAATATAACATTTCAAACATATAATTAAGCACCAACAAGTTTTTCTAACTTGTTAACATGAGTTTTCTACATACTTTAAACACTATTTAGTACAACTTTATCACATATGTATATGTAAAAAGATGTCGGAAGATATGCATCAAAGATTAAAATTGCATACCATCCTCAGTAACTAATAGTCTACATTCTACATTCAAACTTGTTAACATGAGCTTTCCACAAAATTTAAACATTATTCACTATAAGAAAACACGATTTTTGCAACCCCGAAAATCGTCTTAAACCAGTCGCAAATATGCTTTTTGCGACTAATGTAAGACTCTCTGAAATGGTCGCAAATCTTTCGTCGCAAATTCAGGTGGTCGCAAAATAGTTGCAAATTTCCAACGACTTTGCGACAACGTATTATCGTCGTATATAAGCGACTATTTTGACACTGAAAATAGTACTCGTTTATTACGTATACTTAGCGACTATTTTCAGACTCTTGGATAAAAGGTCGCTTATTTGCTACTAATTTTTATGGTCCCTAATGTATGTTTTGCATATCAATAATTAATTTGCCAATAATTCATTTTTTTAGTTTTAAAAACCTAAAATTAAAATAGAAATCCGAAATTCAGTTTTTTTTTATATATATAGCAAAAAGCAGGAAGTACATAACAATATCCAAAACATATATATATCCATAGCAATCCAAATTAAATATCTCAAACCTAATACTATTTTCTTAAGATGGAGAGGTTGATGAATCATTTGGTAAGGCTTCAGTGGCTGGTACAATGGCTGGTATGGTGGCTGGTGCGATGGTTGTTGTTGTGGATGCTGTGGTGGCTGTATAAATCTCTTGGAAACTAAAAAAAAAGATCCAATGAAAATTTTAAAATCGTAAGTATTCAAAACATTGAAACAGAGAGACTTGAATTGAAAAATCAGACCAAAAGAAGACTAAAGCAGAAATCAAACGAGACCACAACCAACAAGTGCAATAAGAACAAAAACACAAACAACGGATAAACTAAAAATTAGACAAAAACAAGGGAATATAAGATCAAAACCGGACAGTCAACATCAAGGATTCATGCTCAGCAAAACAAAGACGTATTAATATGCTAGAAGAGGTAGATAAAAACGAAATTACCTTGAGAAATATCTCATTCTTTTCTTCAGTGGTGAGGGTCCAATGAGTTGATTGTTCAGACGAATTCTCTGAAGTTGCTGGACCATCGACATCCATTTCATTCATTCTCTCTTCTATGTTCTTTTCATAAGTCTCATAAGATAAAGAGCAGATTCATACAAACAAATCAAGATTATCATACATTCATACTACAAACATCCAAATATATTCAGTCAAAGCGAGCACATAATATATTCAATCAAAGCAACAAAAGCAGACCAGAAACTCACATGTCGACTATCTCTTTCAATCAAATTACTAACCTAAGGCTCCAATAGTAGACTATTTATTTCAATCAAATTACTAACCTAAGGCTCCAATAGTATACTATTTATTTCAATCAAAGCAAATAAAAAAAACCAGAAACTCTCTTTACCATGTGTTCTTCTGAATGTCAGAATCGGAAGAGGATGTGGACTCAAGATTGGTAGATGTTCTCGGCCAGGAAGAGCCAACAAATTATCTAACATCTGTTGGTAGCCTTCCGGTTGTGGCTCTTGAGCATTAGGGTTTAGAGGTTGATGCTCTGGAATCTGAGGAGGCAGTGGTTGTTGCTGGGGAATCTGATAAGAAAGCGGTGGTTGATGCTCTGGAATCAGATGAGGAAATGGTTTTTGCTGATAATGAGGCGGTTGTTGCTGCTGATGAGGGACTTGCGGCTGTGGTTGAACGACGGCGAGAGTTGTTGCGGTTGTGTCGATGGAGGATATTGGGATGGAATAGGTGGTGTTCTAGATCGCTGGGAAACTGACCTGTTAGAGGCGTGAGAAGACGAGCCGACACCTCCATTTGAACCCCCACCGAGTGGTTACTCGGCCACTACCGACGCCTCAACCACCACCGACGCCTCGACCATCTCGGCCTCTACCGGATTTTGCCTTAGCAGCCATTGAGAGAGATTAAATGACTATTGATTGTGAGAGATGGGGTTTCAGAGAATGAGAGTAACGAACTAACGATTGAGAGAGATAAGGTTTCAGGGATTGAGATTTGAGAGTATCGACGATTGAAAAAAAAAAATGGAGTTCCAAAGATTGAGAGAGTATGGATTGAGAAATAGGGTTTTTTTGTGTTGAGAGAGTATCGATTGAAGAGAGAGTATCGATTATTAGAGATATAAAAGAAACAAGTTTGCATAGTAAATTCTGCGAGTTGTAAATAACAAAAAGGAGGGATAAGTTGCCGCCTAACTTTTCCATCAAATCTCAAGTGGTCCCAAAATCGTCTCATAGAAAATTGGTGCACATTTGTATCAAAATAGTCACAAAATGCGATTGTTTTGTGACCCTATTTTATAAGTCACAAACTAAATTCCTAAACCCTATATTTTAAGAGTCTAAAAGAACAAAAATATTACTTTAAGAGTCCTTCTTATTCTAATTCTAAAGTTGCACTCTCTATTTATATAGTAAACTAAGATATAGTTAGTAAATTTGAAAATTGTATATCATTCAAAATCATTACATGTAATCCACATATACACTTAGGACATGTTATGAGAATATACAACATAAGTTTAAATTATTGGAATTTAAATTTCTTTTTACTATGTTATCATGATCAGTTTATATAGTAGTTCAAATGTATGTAAAACATTCAAATTTATCTATTTACAATTCCATATTGATGATTTTTTTTTAAAAAAAAAATCGGCTGGAGTTGCTAAAAAGAAACAAATTAGTCACAATTTCAGGTGTTGGTTGCAAATAAGTAACAAATTAGTGGCTCTTTTGCGACTACTTTGTGATTATATTTATGAGTGACAAATCTATACCCTAAACCCTAAACTTTAAAGGCCTAGAAGAGCATAAACATGACATTACAATCATTATTATTCCAATTTGAACACTATAACTCTTTTTATAAATAGGAAATTAAGAACTAGTAAGTAAATTTTGAAATATTTTTATGTTTAAAATCATTTCATATAAAACACATATACACTTACTACATGTTATGAGAATATACAAACATAATAGAAAAGTTTTGAATTTAAAACTTTTTTTTCTTTTATCATGATTCTGTGTACATATTAGTTCAAATCTTTGTAAAAACATACAGATTAACAAATTTTACAATTCTATATTGATGACTTTTCAAAAAAAATTCGAGTGCAGTTGCTAAACGGTAGCAAATCAGTCAGAAGTTCAGGTGTTTGTCGCAAAATTAGTCGCAAATTAGTAGGTATTTTAAGACACTTTTGTGACTGCTATTAAACTTGTTGAAAACATATTTTCTAGATATATATAATTATTTTTCGTTGCAAATCTGTCGCAAATATAGGACTACTTTGCGACTACATTTTCCGACTTAAACGAGAGTCGGTAATTCATCTTAATTTCTGACTGTTTTGTGACTATAAATATATAGTCGACTACTGGTCTTTAATTAGTCGCAAATAAGCTATTCTTGTCTGACTACTGTGTTTCGTCGGTAATTTGCGACTATTGTGTCTCAGCATTATGGGTAGTCACTTATTAGTCGCAAATTAGTCACACTATCGTTCCTTTTTTTGCGACTGAAAAAATAGTCACAAATTATAGTCACAAAAACTGTGTTTTCCTGTAGTGATTTAATATGATTTTATCACATATGGAAAAGGATGTCGGAAGATATGCATCAAAGAATAAAATTGCATACTATCCTCAATAAGTAATAGTCTACATTCTAAAATATAACCACCCAAATTGAGTTATTTAGAATGACAAACTCGTCAACTTTTGTATTACTTTAATATAAGGCATGAATCTTCATCTTAAAAATTTAGTCAGCTTGTTATGATGTTAAATCTTTTTAGTAAATACTATCTCAACGTTAAAGATATTATTTCCACATTTACTTCTACGAGATTATGCATTGTTTTTTTTTAGTTTATCAGATGTGTGCATATAGAAACTGATCGAACTATTTACCACACATTCTTTATAAATATGTTTTGTTTTCATAGCCAGCATTAAGCAATAATTAATTGAAAACATCACATGGATCCTTGTAAACTGGTTGTAGTTTCGTCAACATTTAAAAAAAAAAATATTTTGCTTTATGTTTAGATAGTTATATTTCTTGCAAACTCAAATAGCAATTATGAGAATATTTGTGTTTAGAAAAACATCATCTTAAAAAAAATATTTCTCACCAAATTTTAGACCGGAATGTACAATGATGCAAGTACGATCACCCTAAAATTATAATTCCATTCAATTTTATATTTAGTAGATAAATATTGAAATCAAGACAAAATGAGTGAAAATCTTACATTTAGAATGATTTATAGTCCTTGAATTATCATATATATAAAAAATGTTTCATTCCCTCCCTATTGGTTTATTATTAAAAAAATTATTACATTTAAACTATATAATCAAACCATAAAATATTTCTTTTAAACTACACAATAAACCATATTAAATTCATTCCACTCATCAAAAACAATATGTTAATCTATGACATCTATCTCTGAGGCAAAAAAATATGAAAATAATTTAATTCTCTTTCTGTTCTTAATTAAATGATGTTTTAAGGTTTTTTTTCAGATAAGTGATGTTTTCAATTTTCAAGACAAAACAGAATAGTTGTTAATTTTTTTGACCATATGTACTCTGTAAATTGTTTTCTTATTGGTTGAATTATGATAAAATGGATAATAAACTATTTTTAGAGTAATTAAAAATATAGGACAAAAAAATATTACTAGTCTCCTTGCTAATTATATTTTAAAAAATTTCCCCTTAATACTTCTACGAATTATTTAACCTTTTTATCATTTAAACCGAATTTTCTCACAATTATAAAAAATCTTTTTATCAAATATAATAAGATTACATAAAAATCAAGAAAAAGTTAAAAAAAAACATTTACCCTACCCCTTGTAGAATCCGCCTCTTCTCATCGTCATCTTCAACGAAGAATAAAAAAACTCTGATAAGTTTTCTCCGGTGTAATCTCCTCCGGATCTGCTGCCTATTTTGACTCTGGTAAGTCAAATTAACCGCCGTCCTCTTTTTATATCGTCTGCCTACACCTTCTTTAATATTTGTTTCATTCGATTAAATTAGTAAGGTCTTTTTAATCCTAATTTGATTTGTGTTTTCTGGGTGCAGCCGGAGTTATTTTCGGGGATAGAGAAAGCCATCACCGCTGTAGCAACTGATAATCTCAAGGTAATCTGAGTTTTGACGACATTAACCTCAGTTCTTATCCAATGCAAGATGAAGTTTAGTATGTATGTACATTCTATTAATTTACAGTGTTTAGTATCTACTAACTTCTTTTGATTTTGCATTTGATGTAAGTGAGTTTTTTCTTCTGAAATCTTTGTATTCCTCATTCTTATTTGTTTTTGCAATTTGGTTTATGTGTTTATGTTGCTGACAGCTATTGTAGAGATGAGATCAGACCGTTGCTTATTTTTAAGAACTAGTTCTTTGTAAACAACTTCTTGAGCTTCTGTGTTGTTATTGCCAAGATAAATTGTTTGATTGTGGACATAATTTAGTGTTCTACTGCTCTAGGTTCCTTTGTTTATGCTCACTTTGAAACTATGTATATGCAAAGTTTGTCTTTTTCACCTCTGAGCTGGACTCTTTGAGTATCATTTGTTGCTGGTTGTAGATTGAAACTGAAGTCTACTGTACTATACTCTTCTCTTCGCCAATTTTTATTGCATTGCTGAAAGAAAAATAAGATAATATGGTTTTTGGTCGAGCTAAGTGTATGCATTTTTGTAGTTTTAATTTATTGATGGGGGTTATCTCTTGCTCAACTCCTCAATTGTTATTTTAAGACATTTTTCGAATGGAAAATGAAATTTAGTATGTACGTACATTCTATTGATTTTACAGTTGTTTAGTATCTACTAACTTCATTTGATTTTGCATTTGATGTAGATGAGTTTTTGATAACACTGTATTTTGATCACTTTTGTGGATCGTTTATGCTTTTTCAAATGATTTTTATTTCTTTTCAGTTTTTTTTTATTATGGTTTTCTAGTATTTGTAGTTCCAATACTCTTTTCAGGTAATTAAGGCAAAAGGAGTGCATTTTTTGAGCAAAAGATCATCTTGGATAAATTCAGGCCATCAGAAGTTTCACATCTCACGGTCTGATCATCCCCAAAATTGGTCTTGAGATAAAGGAGACAACTAGCTTTCAAATTCAATTGGTTTGGAGACAATCCAATGGTTAGAGTGATGCACAGAAGACATGTTCTGCAGTCTCGTGAAGGATGCAATCGCAGAATGAAGATTCAACCTTATAAGCCAATATCTGCGGGTCCAGGGTCCACGGCCACGGAGAACACACTCTTGGCCATGTCAGGAGCTCTCTGGCCACATTTATGTTTGATGTGTCGTGTGGTGATAGTGTCAAGTTTTACCCTAAATGAAATCAATAGTCGCAAGTGCACAGCTGATCGATTATAGTACTTAGGGATCGAATCCACAGGTAAGGAGGATCTTTCCTGCAAAAGCCTTCGAAAGAAATATAAAGTAAGGAAGTCAGAACCATACGATTTTTGTAAGGGTTTTGGTGGTGTCTTTAAAACGTAGAAACTAATCTTCACGAGAGAATACGAGAATTAGAAAGATATAATAACTAAACTTAATGAAATCGACTAAAAACGAGAAAAACGGCTAAACCTAATTGCTTAAATAAAATTCGATTAAGAGAATAAAAACGATGAACTAAAGCTTGAAATAAAATCTGTGAAAATCAATGGAAAAGAGGCGCTTGGTTTCAGGGAAGTTTTCTCTGGGGTATGAACGATTCAAAACATTGCTAAAGAGTAAATTTAATAAGATCATAGCTAAAACTTTTCGAACTCGAGTCACGGACGTATGAATACGTACGCCACTGTCGTGATCATAGACAACTATCTCTCTCAACCCTGAAAAGTAGGTTTCCACTCTGGCCCTGGAAGAGAAAAGATGCAATATGCTTAAGACTCTTCAGCATTCACAAATCGCCCATAGGTAGGTTTCCACTCCTATGTTTGTTTTGCTATCCCAAACTAGATCTGACAATGAATACTTTCATATCACCAAGAATCAGATTGTAGTTTATGACGCTACTTCCATGCATTAAAAGTA